TGATTCCCACTAGAGGCTGCTCAAATGCTAGTGCTAGGAGTTGGCTGCCCTCTAGAATTCACTTTTCTTCTTGCTCTTTATTTTCCTCTTCTTTGTTGTCTTTTAATGCTGTTTCAATCGCAACTACAGCAAAGCAGGTGGTGGGGTTTTTTAAGTGGAAAAAACAGTGGTTGATGAGGACCTTACTAAATTATTTTGATCCCTGCTGTGTTTGTGAGTTTTGCAAATTAATAAGTGAGCAATCATTCTGAAAAGCAAGTTAGCATAATACATACATTTGGATTTTAATGCACTCAGGAAAATCCATTTCTTAAGCAAAAAGCCACCACCAGTTTTAACTGTGGTCACGATATTGCCCTTTGAATACATCTAATCTTGTGAGAGAAAGTTGAGCATGTGTTTGAACAATGTATGTTCCACAGCACAATCTGTAGAATTGAAAACTTTTTTTTGTCTCAAACTTGTTTCCATATTAACTGTCAACTGCCCCTTTCTCCCCCTTCCCCAAGTGATCTCTATACAGACAAATAATTTCAGGAAATCTTTACTGATTACACGATTCATATTTCGCTTTCTGACTGTTGTGAAGCAGTACCTTACTTGTTAGGGACTAAAAAAAAAATCGTATTAAGTAATTGGAGCTGAGCATATGAATATGCATGCTAGGAAATCTGCTTACAAGGTCTTAACTTTTGCTTTTCTGGGGGGGACCATTAGGATAGCAATTCCTAATTCCGTAATGGCTAAGAAAGTTGAAATTTTCTATGCTCCCAAGTAGAATGACCAAACCAGAATTGAATCCTTGACTTCAATAGCCTTCAGTTTGCTATTTTCTTCTTTTGAGCATCCAAACTTTAAATAACTTTTTTCTACCTTCAACTTAATAGTTACTGTCTTGCTTTGGCTTGCTTCTGTCTGTTACAGGCAAAGGTGAAACAGCTGTTTGCCAAAACTCAGAGTTACTTTAGATTTTCTGCGGTTTCATTCCATTATCTGTGTAGTTCTTTGCATCAAAAATCAAGTTCATATGCTGCAACAGCTTAGTGTGTCTGTCTCTGAACTGCAGACTCCCTTCTCTGGCTGCTATTTTGTTTGTGAAAATGTGATTTAGCTTTCCTTCTGCAATTTACCTTTCCTCTGGTCTAGGAGAAGTCCTTTATTCACACAGATCCATCACAGAGATGGGTTTGGGAAAATTGTTTTTCAGCTTTGGGCTCCTGAGGAAGCATGTGGAGTTCAGCATCAATCGCCTGCAGGTGGAATGATCCTTTGATATAGAATTTGGTTGGGATAGTTCAGGTCAGAAGGGACGTCAGGAGTTCCCTAGTCCAAATTTCTTCTCAAAACAGGGTAAGCCATGAGATAAGATCAGGTTTCTCAGGGCTTTCCACAGACATGATCACTTTTAAGTTGAAACTGAACAATTATGGTTAAAGAGGAGAGTAAGGAGGTTTGCATGGTTTTAAGTACATGGGTGTGTGTCCTGGTCATGTGTCCTGTAAAATAGCTACATTTAGCAATTTGCCTATCAAAAAAGAGTCTGTCAGAGTAAACTTTTGAAGTCTATATTCTTTTATATTGCCATGATGTCAAGCAAAGATTGAAATTCTCCCAGTATGCTTTACTGTTGCTTCATTTGTATAATTTAAGATTAGTACTGGTTTTGGTCAACACAGTTTTATTCCTCAGACTGATACTGGACAGGAAGGGTTAAACACAAGATGTGCCCGAGAGGCAAAATTAAATTATGAGCAGTTCTGGATGCTTTTTTTTTTTCCTGAGGTATAGACCACAAACCTTTGAGACCAAGATGCTGGGGCTAATATAATGGTTCAGCATCTTATTACAAAGACAGATCTGTGGGTGTCTCTGCTGTCATGATTTACTACGCGATATGGATGGAAATTTGGTTATCTTTGAGCCATTTATGTGTGTGTAATTATTACCTGTGTGTTAATTATGTACCTTTACAAATTTGGTTCTGTTGAAGTGAGTTGTCCATCTGTTGATACAACTTGATATTCATGTAAATATTTTTTATAGCCCAGCTAGAGGCAAACTTTGAGGAAATGGAGAATCATCTGTTGTGTCTTGAGGAACTATGTGAACAGTGTGAGTTGGAAAGGTACAAATGTATGCAGACATTACAGCTGGAAAACTACAAGAAAACAAAGAGGTAAATAAAACAATTGCTGTAAATATAAATAGCATAAAATATAAGCCTTTTGTGATTATTTTTCCCCATATATAATATAATCCCTTTTATTTTCCTCTCTTAATGAAACAGTAGTTCTTGACAGGAAATTTATAATAGATCATGGAATGCTGGTCTAACTTGTGGTGATGAACAAAGAGCATGTGTGTTTGGAAAACTCTCACTACATTGCTAAGATGCAGTCATGCTTATTATTCGCTATTAAAAAATGGAGTAAGGACTATTGTTAATAATTACTGGTAAATTGTTTCTTTTAATCCCTTGCCCTATTGTTTGATATATTTATTTTTTCCCCTCTGCATACTTGTGAAGTTAGGAACTGTATTTTCCTCTATCTTCCTTTCTGTTCTGTCGTGCGAGTACCATTTGCTCTGTGTGAAAAGCGTTAATCTCCTACCATTCCCTTAATTTTTCAATACCAGGACATTGCTACTAGGGATCAAAGTTCAACTTGTAGCAGTATGTGTGAAAACTCAGAACCTCCAACTGTTGACCCTCATGTTTACCTCAGAAGTAGCAAGAGATTAATATTAAGAGCTTAAATAACTTAAAGTCTTGACTCGCTTGGTTCTGTTACTGGCAGTGCCAAAAATAATCTTACTGAAGGAGGGTATGCACCCTGGCACTCCCCTCGCTTCTCTTGGGTCCGGAAGCAAGTTTGACTGTGTGGTCTGGTCAGAACAGCTGGTTTGGTTCAAAATTACTGCATTTTTGTTATTTCTTGTGTCGTGTCCTTCAGTTTTTCCCACCTTTTCAGTTAGCTTAACCTCAGGCCAGGGTCTCAGCAGTTGTCTTGTCATTTTCCTGCAACCTTAGTTTTCTCTTTCCCAAGCCAGGGCAACACCATTTTCCTCCTCTCCAGGAGGAGTCAACAGTAATCTGTATGGCTGAATAGTCACTTATGCCGTAAATTTCTATTTAAGCAATGGAATACTTCATAACTTAAATAGCACATATTTAGAATTTTTAACCAAATAACACACACACTGAAAATGTACGTAAAGCCACAGATTTGTCCCTCTCTAGTAATCTTTCTGAAGTTTCTTGGTTTTGTTTTTCTGCTGTCCTTGCTCCCTCTCCCCCTCCTGCAGCTCTGCTTTCAACACCAAAATCAAATGTTGAACGGTTGCCTGCTCTGCTTAGCTGCATCTAATCAGTTTTATAAATAGAGTACTAAGCAAACTACTTAATGTAATTATAAGCTGATTACATTTGGTCAGATCTAGACAAAAGAGGAAGAATACAGGTAATTTCTGGTTGATCATTACCACCGTATTTATTTAGGTAAGAAATTAACTGCTAGTGCTTTCCTAGAAGGACACTTGCCAATGTAGATACATGAAGAATGAACAGCCAGTTAACTGAATGTGAGTGTGGTTTGTTCTGTATGTTTGGAACGGATATCCTGTCTTCTGTTTGGGGGTTTTTAATGTGATACCAGCTACTGAAAGAATTGAGTCAGGGTTCAGGAGTCTGTGTTCTCTCTTTAACGTAAGAATTATTTTCAGGGAGTGAGTGATTTTGTGTTTTAAAAAAAAAGAAAATTTTTCCTATGTTTTGACAATATAGGGATGAAAACTGAGATGAACACAGACTCTAGAAACTGTGGTTATTTTAAGCGTGTAACAAAAAGTAATTTTATTATAAAGTCACTGTATAGCTTAGGCTAGAAGCTCGCATACTTAAAGTCTTTTGAAAAAATCTTCCTATGTGAAAGATTTAGAAGAAAGTGCTTTAGGTCAACATTAAACCTTTTGAAATGCAGCTTATGGTAACTATGGGAACTGATTTTCTGAAATAGCTCTCACTGTTAAATAGAGCAACTTTATTTCAGTTCAAACAAATACTTTTTTTTTTCCCCCTTTTTTCATTGTGTTGAGTACTGGTTTCAAAGTGAACTCATCAATCCAAGGTGTTTTCCACAATATGTATTCAAGGCTGTTATTTGGGACTATTGATTGTCTTTCTGTGTGCTTATCTCTGCATTTCTAATATATCTGGGTTTTGGTTTTAAATCCATGGATCAGGCTACCAGGATTGTATGAACTCTAGGTTCCACCCTTGTTCTCTCTAGTTAGTCTTGCTGCGGTTGTTTGCCTGTATGTTAGCATTAAACCCTGCTGGTTTGTTTCCTGTCCTTTTCTCAATCAAGTACGATTCTTCTTCCCTTTCTTTTCTCCTCCTGTTGAGGATCTACCATTTCTGATTGCAGAGAGATCACCATTTTTTGAAAAACAAACTCCTGGTTATTTTATGTTGCTGTCCAGCTGCAACATTTTGTAGGAACACATTGGAGATAGCCAGAGTCCTTGTCGCTGGAAATCAGTGAATGCATTTTACTGCCTGTTGTTTGACGTAAAACAGAGTTCTGTAAGAATCCTGTCTTGTTTTCAGTACTTCTCTGTTTTGAGAACAGACATAGAAGGAAAATGAAGGAAGAAATCTTAAAATCCTGAGACTGAAGTATATGCAAGGGTATCCTTAACAGATGTTTACTAACACTGCAGACCTTGGTGGGACTAATCTTTTTTTTTTTTTTATGAGATTTAAATAAATGCTTTATCTGAAGAGAAAATAGGTGCTTAAAATGCCTATTTCTACCTGGGTTTTGTATTTTAAAGGTTTTTGTTGTCAGATGATGAGTTGGACAGATTGTCATAGTTCCTGTTAGATGCATTGCCATGTCATGATGGTGGCTTTATGCTTCTGGAGGAAAAGAATGTTTGGTTCACTTTCTCACTCAAAAGAGTAAAAATTTTCTCTGTACCAGTACATCATCTTCAGTGGTGACTCCCATCTGGAAGTGATTTCAAATTATATCCCCGTAGCCCTTATAATCTTTACATGTAACTTAACAAATTAGCTTTTTAGACATAAGAAAATGCCATTACTGCAAATATTTCCAACAAGTATTTTTTTTTCTTCCAACATTAAATGTACTGTGAATTATTTCCTGACTCTAGCTACGTGTTTCATAGTTGTCATTAGAATTTTCATCCAAGTAAGTTTTCATTCCATATTCTTCTTGAACAGTCTTCTGGTGGTATTGATTTTCAGTTGCTTACCTCTGTGTACCTAAACAATGATTTTGCAAGGTTGGATGCAGAACTTCTATTATCTCCAGGACAGCTTTTGTGGTAGACCTGCAGTGGGTGACTGGCTTTGAGTTTTCGTTGTGTTAATTGTATGATTCTGAAGTTTCTGTGCTCAAAGCAGAGTTCACATTGCAGGCATTTTTTCCATCTTGCTGTTTCTGAGTTTCTGTATCACAAGAGCAGTAGCAAGTCTCTTCATGGTAATAAGTGGCTGGAGTTAATTTTGTGGCCATTGGTTATTACAGTTCTTTGGGTAGACGGGTGAAATGAGAATTCCTATTGATCTTGAAAAACTAGGCTTGCACAAGCATAATTGTGTTCCATTGTGTGTAACTTTACGGCTCCAATTTTTCTTTTATTCGCAAGAACACTTGCGATACAGTATTGTGCCTGTGTCAAACCTGAAGGAGAATGCTGCTTCATCATTAGTGAATATTACTCCTGTCAGTGCTCCAGGTATTTGAAAGCATTGGGCAAGACCAAGTACGTAGCAGATCAGAAGATTGTCCCTTTTTTGTATTATTTGCAAAGTGTGAATGTGGAGTGTAAATTCTGCCACTTTAAAGTTGTTTCATTTTGACCTTCTTTTATGATGGTCTTTGCTTGATGCAGAGAGATAGTGACAAGGATTTGTTGCATACCTTGTCTGTAGTGATTCGTTTTCTTTTTGAATAGGCATATAAAAGATTTTTTTTCTTTGTCTTTTATGACCTATGAGTAAAGACTAAGTATTTGTGTTGGATCCTTTTCATCTTACAGCACTTTCTACTAACATTTTGTAGAATATGTTAAACATCAAGTCAATTCTGCATGACATTTTTCTACCTTGATGTAGTGCTGGTTACTGGGTATAATCAGCAAATCCTCTCAATCTGTTAGTACCAGACATTCTTTGTCCTGACTTACCTTACCAATAATAGAAACAGATGATTTAAGACTGCCTCGATCATCATTTTGTACTCTCCCTTACTTCAAAACTGCATTGTTTATTAAAGTAATTTATTAATTGTGGCTAATGGAAAGAGAAACAGAGCTTAGGTGTTTGTCATTACGACACTAAAATCCATTCTCTGATTTTGAGCAAGGTACTGCCTCCTGATAAATTCCCTCACATTCAAAAACAATTAGTTTAAAAATTGTTCCAAAAAATGTGTTAAATGCATTTATTGACAGCACCTCTGTGAGGGATTTTTTTACATTTCTGTGTCAGAAGGATGTGTTGAGAGGGTGCCTGAAGTGGTACAAATTAACTTGTCTGCCACAATTGCATTCCTGTTGTGTGGAACCACATTCAGCATTTTAGGTCACTGTGCAAGTGACGTGTTGAGTTCATAAGTTTTTGGCTTTTGCATCTGATAATTTCTAGGGGAAAGTCTCTCTCCTGGCTTATTAGCTTACTTAAAGCTTGAATCGTGCTATGGAAGGAAAAATTTTTGTGATGTATGGGTAATTCTGCAAACTTAATTGTACCAGATGAAACAGTGTTTTTCAGGGGGGATTGGGATCTTGGCACGCACCAGAACTGTGTTTAAATTAAATTGCACATAAGCTGCTATGCTTACTTTAAATATTAGATTTTGTGTGTATATAATGTTTACAACTCAACACTTTAAACACATTCATTGTAAAATCGTTCAAATGTAGTCCTTAATTTTTACCATCCGTATGCTGTCTTGAGGTTGTCTTTTGTTTATTTGAGTCTGAATTTATTGGCTGTTACTTTCAGAGCTAGTATGACTAAATTCTTCTTGACATTTATTTGTGACTTTTACTTTATCTGCCTACTCTTTACTTGAAGATAAAACATGGAACTGTCAATTATGACTGCTGGCATCGTTGTAAGAATGTGGTGGTTCTGTAGTCCCTAGGTATTTAACTGAGTTC